TTTCACAATTTCTTACGAAAATTAATAATTTTCCAAACCTAACTAAATAACTGGAGGCAGAGTTATTTTTAACTCCATGTAGATCACAAACCTCTGAAATTGGTTGATAATTGTAAATGTTATCGTGTTTTTATCCGGAAAAAACCGCAGCTCCTCCGTTTACCTCCATTCATTTTTAAGGCAGTCTTGCCTTCACAAACATGGCGGACGCGTCGACGTATCGCAGCAACGGCTCAAAGCGACCAATGAGGCGTCTAGGTATTTAAGATATAAACACAAATTAAGACGTTAAGTGTCTGTGCTGAAAAGCAAACTTGCACGAATGTATCCTAACTTGCATAATGTGTTTTGATCTGTATGTAGTGTTATGTAGGGCGATTATGTAACTAGAAACACGAGCAACCACGTGTATACGTTTACATGCACAATTTTTGGTTCAATCGGACTGCTGCGTCATTGCACATGCGCAGTTCTTTCAGTTTCGGAGTTAAATCCGATCGAGTGTTTACATGCACTCTCAATCGTATTAGAAAATGAATAAACCACCCCCTTCAATCCGATCGAAATTTCATTCTGATCGAGCTCAGTCAAATCGATTAAGGTGTTTACATGAAGGTTTTTCGATTGAGCCGTCAATCCGATTAGGCCTACAAATGGATTATTTGGTTGCATGTAAACGCGTAGCCAGTGACACCATACTGTATGCAATTGCATGGAGAAGTGTTGCCCATTTAAAGAAAGAATAATCAGAAAAAAAATTAAAGCTTGTGTTACTTTAAACAAAAAAAAAATTGTTTTGAGCTTGCACATCGAGAAATGGCTGTCAAGCACTTCATTTATTGGATTTTGTTCAGTTGTGTTATATAAGCTATCCAATGTGTCATAACGGATTTGTGAGTGTAATGAAAAATCATCTTAAAAAACACCCTGACATTATATTTAGCTATAACATAGTAAACAATAAGTGAAATACAAAAGAGTTTCTCTATAAATAGTTTCTAAGAAAAGGAAACAGTGTTGACTATCATGTGAGTGAGTCTTCCTTTATCCAGTGTCCCCTTCATGCAACCTAGTCAGGTGACATGGGTGCATGTTGTGTGACAAAGGCTTGCTTTTCTTTAAAATCCCCCTGTAAGTCACAGTGTCAACTACTGACCTTTACAATCAGTGAAGCTCATGTGTGCTTGGACTCTAACAACATATGCTTTTCATCTCCTTACAGTATTCAGATACTTTGATATTCATATAGGGCTCTCTGTGGATTACTTAATCATGCGACTTTAGAAAGTCTAAATCAGCAAAATTCACGTGAGCAAGATTAGGCAAAAATGTGTCCAACCTTATTAATTGCTGGAAGGATACTGCAGTGTTTGTTTCTTGATATTTGGAGACATTTGGATGGAACTGACAAAATATCCTTTAACGTTCGCACTTAGCGTTATTGTTAAATGGAGGTATATGAAAATGCTTTTAAATTTCGTGCAGTAGTTTTAATTTTAGGTCGTTTGCTATGACAACCCCCACCTCCCATTTCAAGTAAAGTTGTTTTAATTAATCTTTATGGAATAATTAAAAGTGATATACTGCCCTCTACTGATTTAATCTGCTTTAAACATAAAAATGCCCCTTTTCAACCACAACACAGATTTGATTGATTTATTTGTACCCTGCATTTGTTATGTTGATAGACTACTTTTTTAGTATGAGATTAACCCTTTAAACCTCCGGCGGCACAAAAAAATTCAAAATTAATGTAATTATTTCCATCAACTCTTAACGAGCGCTGAGCAGTTCCTCTAAACCGAAGTGTACCGCGGGCGGGACGCACCCCTTCTGCCACAATATTACTAATCATATTTTTTCAAACCACTGCCTTGATCAACAAAAAATGGATATCTTTTGAAAGCCCAGAGTCTGAGCTTTACAATGAATGTAGCCACTTTGATTAACTCCAATAGTGCCGAGTTACTTGCTAATAAATGACAACAAAAAAAATCATAATTTACAAAATATGTTTTTTGTGCCATGTACTCTAATATGTCAAAAATATAGCTCAGATAGTCATGTGTCATATGTCATTTGAAAGGTCTCATTGAGTAGAATATAGAAATGTTTGGGGCTTTGAATAAACTGGAGCGAGTTTTTGTACAAGAAGGCACCCCCAGACCCATATGAAAATAATGTATTGATGTCACCGTTTTACTTGTAACTTCATAAAACATGATCAGATCCTGGAAAAGTAGGCACCATTATTTATGGGACCATAAAACCATAAAATGAGCCCAAAATCACTATAATCTGCCATTTATATCTAAAGATTTTCCTCATGAATTTATAACCCACATAAAACTGCACAGGCAGCATAGTTTAGCCAAAAAAATCTAAGGTAGCTGTCATGTGGCGATTTCACTCATAACTTCATGAAACATGCATATATCATAGAAAATGACACGCCATTATTTGCAGAAAATTCCCCTGATTAAAAAGAGCCCAAACTCACTATAATCCATCGCTCCGATCTAAAGATATCTCTCATAAAGCTATAACACATAGAAAAGAATTAGGTCATGTAGCTTAGTCTATACATACAATTCATTAATTGTTAATACTTTCAATCACTCATTCATTACTTTTTGTATGAAATAAAGTCTAGCTGCATACAGTCGTAACAAAACCCACTGTAAGCTATTTCAACAGTCCACGCCTGACGTTCACATGATTACATGTCAAGCAAAAATCTCAAGAAAACTTATCTTTTTTGGGGAAAACAAGCTTTGTCACAGAAATAAGTCTTGGATATGCTGCTAAGTGGAATGACCATAATGTTAATATTTTCAGTCATATGATTTCAATAAATAAGAAAAAATAATACAACTTTTAAAAAATTCCCTCAATAAATTATCTTTTGACTTTGAACAGGTTTTGCTAACATCATGGGAACTAAATGTGCCCGCAAGGACAGTAACTAAATCATTAGGAAATATGAGGAACATGTGGCTTAATAAACATACAAAATAATAATTTAATGTAATATTAATATGCAAATACGTTTTTGTGATGGTTAGATTTTGAATAAGGGGATATAAAATATCCTAAGCTCAGTATACACAGTTGACATCAATGGGAGTCACATGCAATGGGCATTTGTGTACACCTTTCAAATAAATAGAATTCTTTGCCTATGCATTTATATTTCACAACAACAACAACAACACTATCAACAACATTAAGTCTAGTTATTAGGCTATTATTTAAAACTTTCAAAGAATTTGACGTGTCTAATACAGCTTATGGGGGTCTAAGCTTATGTGTGAGCACGTGAGGTCATATGCTCAGAAGTTTGACGCTGATTTTTGTGCCTTTACATTCAGACTAGCAAATCACGAATCAGTTACGCATTATTCAATTACACCCCATAAAAAGGGTGTGACGTGTAAAACACAATAGAGCGCGTGCTCACACTAAATACCGACGCGTTCAATTGGACACAGTGATAGTGGAGGGCTGCTATAAATGCCACGCCGAGTGGGAGAGACTACACTGCAACTGAATCTCAACTCAGAAGCACTACGACGATCAATACCTGGGAACCGGTTGCAGTTCTGAAATAATATAGGCTACATCTGTTTGCTTTACGACTGTAGCTACTTTTAAATAAACAATAATAGCCTGTTAATAATTTATTCTCCTTTAATTAGTAATTTTAAAGTATTTTAAAATGGAATACCAAAAGGCGGCAGAATTGAACGGTTTGTGCAATGGCAAAATTGTCAGAGTATCTCTGCCGTAACGGCTTTAGCGAGCTGACAGTCGATTCGAAAAAAGTCGCTGTCCAGCACAAAAACGAGATATCCCGAAAAGAGGCGGAGGATGAGTCGCGGTTACCTGCTCTGGAGGCGGCGTACACAACCATCCTGCGAGGTCTGGGAGAAAACACAGACCGGCAGGGGCTCCTCAAAACCCCGCTCCGTGCTGCAAAGGCCATGCAGTTCCTGGCCAAAGGCTACCACGAGACCATCTACGGTAAGTAGGCCTATAGGCTATTATTATGCAGAAAATAATTACATTATACAAGTTCACCTGCTGTCTGATATTCCGTTTTAAATATAGGGGTTTCAAACAACGTTTTAGTAGGAAATTACAAGTCAGTCAACAGAAATCACTTTCACCGGAGGAGGTTACTATAGCAACACTTCCAGCTAGGATAGGCTACTTTTTATTTCTCTCATATTACTCTTGTTATACTCGACTGTTTATTTCTTTATTATGGTTTTACACAACACAAATATACCACAGAATATGAAATATACTACTATTGTACATTGTTTAAAAAGTCTTTAAGATAGCTGACTGTGTATAACAGGGGTGCCCAAACTCGGTCCTGGAGGGCCGGTGTCCTGCAGAGTTTAGCTCCAACTTGCCTCAACACACCTGCCTTCAAGTTTCTAGTATGCCTAGTAAGAGCTTGATTAGCTGGTTCAGGTGTGTTTAATTGGGGTTGGAGCTAAACTCTTCAGGACACCGGCCCTCCAGGACCGAGCTTGGGCACCCCTGGTGTATAAAGTTGTGTTGCGCAAGAGCAGTCGATTGTGCTCCCAAAATGACTGACAGATAAAGTAGACCCTCTAAAAGTCACTGGATTATTGGATCATTGGGTATCTATACAAAATTTCACGTAAATATGTTAGAAATATGTTATTATTTTCTAGTTTTTAATATATAGTTTCACTGTTTATTTTATTAACCCCTTCAGACCCCCCCCCACTCCCCACTGAGCATTTTTAGTCCTCAATAGTTCTTAGCTCATCACCAAACTGGGTTTTTTATTTATGGGTGTGATTGTAGCCAAAATTATGATCACATCATTCTAATCCAAGTGTTTTTCAGTGGGCTAAGTCACATAACACTAAAAATATTTACCCATGGTGTGTTTGACAATTCCACTACGTTGGTGAGGTATTGTATAAAATACTTATACGTCATTCTGGACTTGCTCAATTAGTCTGCAACAGATGCTGAAAGCACCAGCTTCAATAGTCTGATTGGTGTGAAGGACTACTTAAACTAATCACACTTTCTCCTGAGCTGACCTGATTTATGAGAGGGCTTTTTAATGTGTATTGTTTTCAAAGTTTGTTTTTATAAAACCTTTAATATTTTCATTTTGTGTAAACCCTATCAAAATTATTTGTTAAGTAATTAACTTTTGTATATATATGTTTTTCTTATTCCACAGATGTCCTTAATGATGCCATCTTTGATGAAGACCACGAGGATCTAGTTATTGTGAAAGATATTGACATGTTTTCACTTTGTGAACATTATCTAGTACCATTTTTTGGCAAGGTATGTCTCAGTATCTGCTGATAAAGTCAATGAAAGATGCTTTTAGCCACTCAGTTTATGTTATGCTTGATGTTGCACCGCTAGGCAAGGCGGTTTCATGGGTTGTAAGGGAATCATTGATGCATACATTTGTCTGGGCCTGGGAGAGTGTTGCTTGCTGGGAGGTCAATGGGTTCTTTTCAATGAGCTGTAGTGCATAAGAAATAAATGTTTTTATGTTAATTCATCTGTAGGTTCACATAGGATATCTGCCAAGTAAAAAGGTTGTTGGCCTCAGTAAGCTTGCGAGGTGAGTATACAACTTGCAAACACACACACACACACACACACACACACACAGACAAAATTTAGTGTGCCAGTCTCAGACGGACGGTAAAGGGCCTTGTTCTCAAATCAGAGTAGGTCTGAAAAAGAGAATGTATTAGTTACAAGTGGCTGAGTTCTTCTGTTATCACAGCTCATTCACTTGAGGCTTAGATCCAAAGCCTGGCACAGTATCCTGTCCCATCTGAAAAACGCCAGACTAGCTGACTTCTGGCGCTGAGGAAATCCCCCTCAACTCCCACTTCCACTGTAGGGTGGTTGTGGGAACCATTAACATTGCAATCCTCACAAAATATCATGTGCAGCCTGGTGCTTCCTTTGCCTGAGTAAAATAAACCAGACTTCATGAGACACCATTCATCAGTCCCATTGATATCTATTACTAATTTTATCACAAAATTGTCTGAAATGTTTACCATTTACATTTATAGTTCTATACAATATTTATTGTCATTCTTTGGGAAGGAAATAGCTACATATTGAATTGGTTGTTTGATAAGTGTCACATGTTTGGTGATTTTTTTAACTTACGTGCTGTGAATTTTTGTCGCTCTTAGGATTGTTGAAATCTACAGTCGCAGACTTCAAGGTAACGATCACAACTGTTTTATTATTTAGATATCTAAAAAGGGAGATAGACCTATATTAATGTTCAAAAAAACGGTAGAATTATTTCTATATTTTTAAAGAAATGAATACTTTAATTCAGCAAGGGTGCATTAAATTGATCAAAAGTGACATTTGCAAATGCAAATACATTTCCTTTATATTCATCAAAGAATCATGAAAAAGAATCATCATGTTTTCCACAAAAATATTAAGCAGCACAACTGTTTTCAACATTGATAATAATAAAACATATTTATTGATCACCAAATCAGCATATTAGAATGATTTCTGAAGGATCTCTGTAAAATTATGCCTTCCAAACATAGGAATAAATTACATTCTGCAATTTATTAAAATAGAAAAGTTATTTTGAATTGTAATATTTACAATATCACTATTAAAATAGGTTAGAGGTTTTTTTAAATATTGAAAATCTTACATACCCATAACTTTTTGAACAGTAGAATTGCTAGTGTTACTTATATAGTAATAGTCATGTGTAACGTTTATTTTTGGCATTAGCATCTCTCAATCTCAACCTCAGAATTTACTGTTGAATCCATGCTGCACCTCACATTTGTCGTTTCTTCAGTGTTTTACTATTAATTTTTTTTTAATACAGTCCAAGAGCGCCTAACAAAGCAAATAGCAATGGCAATCTCTGAGGCCTTGCAGCCTGTCGGTGTGGCAGTTGTCATCGAGGCAGCGTTAAGTATTTGAAAGACGAAACACAATCATTTCATTAGATTATATACTAGCCTTCTTTCTCATAAACCCATGTTTCTTAATACAGATCAATGCGATTAGATTTCACATAACTTTAAAGCTCAGAATACAGTACAGTCATTCAGCTGCTTCATACAGTGGCTGTCATGGTTGATGAATTATTTCTACAATAACACGCATGAAAATTTGTATTTCAAAGGTTATTTGTGGCCTGAATGGACGTTTGTTGTTGCAGTCACATGTGTATGGTCATGCGTGGAGTGCAGAAGATAAACAGTCGTACTGTGACCAGCGCCATGCTGGGTGTGTTCAGAGAGGATCCAAAAGCTCGAGAAGAGTTCCTGGCCCTGACCAAAGGTGCACAGTGATCACACTACCTTCCCTGCTCCAACTCCATCAGTGTGTTTACAGCCAAACAGGTCAATGAATATTCTCTACATTTGAAACCCTCCATGGTGCTAAGAGAATCTCACTGAGCCAGAGTTGTAGATCTTTCCACCAGCTACTGAGACTCGGCCTACTGCTGAAACTCAGGAGTCTTCACTGTTTGCATATATTGCATATAGAAAATGTGAATATTGAAAGATCAGTGTTACATGAACTACTAGTTTTGAGAAACTAACACCGAATGGCCAAACATTCACACAGCTGCCTTAAAACTGACATTTCTACTATCTTACTTCTGATATTAACAATTAATAAATTAACATATTGCCTCAGATACTTGTCTAACCTTACGACTTTTTACAAAATGAAGATACTAGAACTTATTTGTATATAACTTTAAGAGAAATACATATTTTTGTCATATACTCTGATTAGATCATATTTAAGAGGTCATAAGCAAACATAATGAATAATTTATAGTTATACAAGTCAATGAAAGGTTTATTGTGACATTACTGTGTGGCATAATTTATAAATGGTTAGAAATAAACAACATTGCCATTAGGATATTGTCACTTTTTTTTTTTTACACAATATATGTACTGAATTGTATAAGAAATCAAAACAAATTTCAACCATGCCAACTGCAACAATAAAGCACCATTATGAGAAGCATTTGTCTGTGTTTTTTCAATGCAAATAACTGATTTCTGCAAAATGTTGTCACAATTTTATTCGTCAAGAAATATTTACAGATGTAAAAATGTAGGTGTCCCGGACAATTCTTCATTTAATTGATATTAAGGAAATTACATTATACAGAATCTAAGTATTTCTATGTTGTGACTTCTCACACTTAAAATATGGCAAAAAATATACATACTGTAATAAGAGCATCCATAACAGTTAAACCCTATTATACAATTATGTGGGTCCAAGAGAAATGAAATTCCAAATGATCACTAAAAAAAGAAAACAACAGATCTCCAGTAACCATCTGAAACAGTGTTGACAAAAAGAACCAGTGGCAGAAGAATACGAAATGGAAACGGACTATAAACATATAACTGCACACTGAACTTGTAGCTGTCTTATATTGGTATGTCACTGTCTATTCGTTTCATATTTACATTAGATTTTGTAATAGTGAACAATGCCTTGAAAACAGTAGAGGAAATATAACTTCAAACAAGATAGATACATTCATATTTTTTTTAATTGTGGGAAGAGGTCAAATTTACAAGTCAAAGTCTAGACTTTGGTAAGACCCAATGGCTAAATAAGTAAAAAAGCGCAATAAATTGCCATGAAGAGAACTTATTTTTATTAAATGGCCTAACCACTGTCATCATGAATAAGAACATTTTCTAAACATGTTCCCCAGCAAATGTACTCAAAGGCATCTACATTGTCCAAACAGTACAAGCCACTATATTGCTCTAAGGTTGTTTAGTGAGAGAGAAATTCCACTGAATATTTGATATAAATACAGTCATAAACGTAGAGCACTCCTTTTGCACCACAAAACGCAGCAAACTAAACTCTTTTGTGAACTCAACACAATCATTCTCTCAACACTTGGAAGAGTCAACACAGACATCCACAAACATCCCCATCTCAGCTAAAGACAAATCTCCCATCAAACTGAGGTCTGTTTGTAATTCTTGGTGTCAAGAACCTTCTTCCCACACATGGCACAAATTCCTGTAAAAGTAGAAAAAGAGGGGTGGTGAGCACATATAGCCGTGTGACAGAAACAAAAGAGCACCTAAGCATTCCCTTGCTATCCATCTCACCTTTTTTGTAAGCACATCCCTGACAGTAATGTGAACCAGACTGATGGACAGAGCTTTTGCATATTCTGCATGTGGCAAATCCAGACTTCCCATAAGGATCAAACCTGTCAAAATAGTAGACGCATTGTTATTACATTATTATGACTTTCAAATCTAAATGTATTACAAGACTGTGATGGTGAAACATAAAATTCCATGCAACAAACCTGGCTTTTTTTGATGTCAGCATTTTATTTTCATTAAGCTTTCGACCACCACTCTCTGTAATATAACGGTTTGCAGGTTAGTATTCAGTGTTGACGAAGCATAAATACAAATATATAAAAGGGTAATAATAAACATAAAACGTTAGTTCATCTTTAAAACGATTACCTGTTGTGTTTCTAGCCCCATCTTTCCAGGTATCAGGCGTGATGACTCGCCCCAGCTTCTTCTCGCCTGCGGAGGCCATATGTAATTCACAAAAGTCCGACAGCACACACATTTCATGTTTGATTGATCAAATTTCACGTCCAAATACACAGCATATTAATGTTTAACATAGTCTATATATATATATATATATATATATATATATATATATTAAAAAAAAACTACAAGCGACGTTTATATTTATAGCACAGTTTTGTTGTTTCTCTCGCTGATCTTGCTAGCGAGCCAAATAATTATTGCATACGAACTACAATATTAACGACGTAGACATATTTGTGTAAAACAAATAACCCTTTGATATACAATATGATTTATAATTTAACTACTTACACTTCTCGCAAACCATCTTCAAATGTCAGAAAATCTTAGCTAACACGTCTAGATAGTTCTGTTGTTGTACAAACGAAGCTAGAAACACTGCTCACATAGTAAAGTATGACGTATGATACGTTGTCAAAATAAAAGTCCTAAGAAATCCCACTCAATATAGTTGTATCAACGTTTATAGTCTGTGGTTGGATTTAGCGAGAAACAAAAAATTGTGTGCAGTAACAGTGGATGCTACTCCTACAAATAATAATAATAATAATAATAATAATAAAAATTATTTTATTATTACAATCTTTTATTATGTTTTGTTTAGTTGAGAGTGATTGTTGGTGACTTCATTCTACCGGAAGTACACGGCAGTCATGTTTTGTAAATAAACTGTTCGACTTTTACATTGATTTGTAGTCTTATGGCATTCGGTTTAGAAAGGGTACGATTGTAATTTGCACATATTTAAGTGCTCGATGAATCTGGTAAAGCATTAGTTTAGGAATTTTTATTTGTAGATATAAACTTTAACTAGGCACAACACTCCATTGGTAGGTCTTTACTTCAAAGTAAATTGAATTAATCGTTAAATTAATCACTTATTTTAGCTGTGTGCAATATTGTCCTTTGCCTTTATTTTCATAACCGGAGATTGCCAGTCTCATTATTACGGTGGTTTCTTTTATTTGGGGTGTTTTGTGTCCTTTCTTTGACCTTATCTGAAATTATTTGAAAGAACTGTTCTTTTGGAATTGTTTATTAATATATTGATTTACTCTCATTGTTCTTTATCAGGTACCGCCATTTAACCTCCATAATGTGGGATGTTGAGATCAGGGGCATGGCATCGGCTCATGCCATTATTGCCTCCTCCATCTTCATGGCAACTGTGATGCCTGCTGTGTTTGTGGAAAACTTCTCTGTTTATGGGACCCACATGGTTTGGCTGTATTGTGTGGCTGGATCTGTTGCTGTGGTCAACATCGCAGTGTTTTGGCTTCTTGGCATCAGCCCACCAACAAAGAAGAACACGCTGAGCTACAAGGTAGAGATGGGCAGCACATTCTCCAATGGATGCAAACATAATTAATGACTTTCAGAATGTAATGAGTTTCATTTGTTATTTCTTTGACAGATCAACAGATTGTTCAAATCCTGTCTGTACTTTGTACTGTCATGCCTCTTCTTTCATACTGTGGTGGTACTATACGGAGCACCTTTGCTTGAGTAAGTATGTGTTTGTTTGTTTGTTTGTTGACCCAAAATGTAAAATACCAATGTATAAGTCATACCTCACATTGTAGGTCAGCTCTGGAGACGTTTTCTCTGGCCGTGCTGCTGTCCACACTCACTACATTGAGATGTCTCTGTATCCTGGGTCCTAACGTACAGGCTTGGATCCGGGTTTTCAGCCGAGATGGGTAAGTGCAGGATAAACGCTTTACATTAACCACTTGAATTATTCCTTCCTCCCTTTATGGTGTGGAAGAGCTTTGGTGAAGAGTTTGTGTGGAATTGTTTCACAGATACAGTCGTCAGTGGCTGTAATCCACTAGATGGAGACCTTGTCCAACTTTGACAAATAGAATTTCACATACACGGGATTATTGTAGGATGAACACCTTATATCTAGAATAGATGAAGCAAAAACATTTTGAAAGAACAATTGCAATGCTCAAATCCCCATAAATGAGTAACTGGAGTTAAGTGTGGCTTAATGCTCTGATCAAATCCTGTTTTGTTTTTTTGTTGTTTTTTTCATCGCTGTAGGGTGGGGCCTGATCTGGTTCTTGTTTTCTGATTGTATATAGCACGATTTAAATAATATAATCACTAAAGCATCTCTGTATGTATTATTTTAGCTTAAATTAACTTCAAACTAACTGAAGTGTTTTGAAACAAGACCACAGAATGCTTGGACTATCATTTAGTGATGTTCTAATGGTATGATAGTCAGAGATTCTGTGTGTTGTTTATACAGCTGCAGTATCTCTGCTTAAAGGGTTAGTTCACCCAAAAATAAAAATTAGGCTGTGTTACGTCTTTTGGACAGAAGGAATGCAACACCCGCTGAGTACAACGATAGAGCTTGAAAGATCAAAGACAATTTTTAATATAACTCCGACTGGATTCGTTTGAAAGAAGAAAGTCATATACACCTAGGTGCATCAGGGGTGAGTAAAACACAGCCTAATTTTTATTTTTGGGCGAACTAACCCTTTAAGCACTGCAGGAAATTTGTCTCTCAAATGTAAATACGAAGCTGTTTTCATCGAACATTTATAGTCCTCTTGTATACTACATCATTGCACTCTATACCAGCCTCATGTTTAATACCCTACATACAGTGTTGTTTTTACTAATATAATGTTTAGATACACTACCATTCAAAAGTATGGGGTCAGTAAGATTTATGTTTTTGAAAGAAGCCTCATATGCTCGCCAAGGCTGCATATATTTGATCGAAAAAACAGAAAAGCGGTAATGTTATTAAATATTATTTCAATTTAAAATAACCGTTTTCTATTTGGATATATTTTAAAATGTAATGGGAAATCTCACATAATCCTTCAGGTATCACTCAAATATGATGATATGGTGATCAAAAACATTTCTTCTTATTATAATAGTGTTAAAAACAGCTGTGCTGCTTACTATTTTTGTGGAAACCATGATATCTTTTTCAAGATACTTTGATGAATAGAAAGTTCAAAAGAATAGCATTTATTTAAAATCCGTTATATATTTGTAATAATATAAACATCTTTACTGTCACTTTTGGTCAATTAAATGCATCCTTGCTGAATAAAAGTATAGATTTCTTAAAGGGGTCATCGGATGCAAAATTCACTTTTCAAGTTGTGAATATTTTGAATAAAACAGGAAAAACGAAATAAAGGCGATCCATGTGTCATACAGATCTATTGTGGCTGCGTTGTGTCACATGACAAGCATGACGCGTCGCCATGGAAACAATAAGGCGATACATTTTAAAATAACGGTCGCCAAAAAAAAACTCACGCTGGGGGCTCAGCTAGAATATTTTAAACTCACGTGCGAAAGGGTTAAAAAAAAAAACTTACTGACCCCAAACATTTGAATGGTAGTGTACGTTTATATGAACACTGCTTCTTTTGATATGGTTAATTTTCTGTATTTAAGAGCAATGTTTGTATTTTGTTCATGTTAATTTGTTATCAGCAATGTTATGATGTTGAGCATGTGTGATTTTCAGGGCGATGTCAGTGTGGGACACCTCTCTTCAGATTACCACTGGCTGTAGTGTGATTGGGGCCTGGTTGGGAGCTTTCCCTATTCCTCTCGACTGGGACAGACCGTGGCAGGTTAGTGTCATTACACTATTGCAATATTGGGTTACACTTTATTTTAAGGTGTCCTTGTTAGTGTAATTATACATTTAAGTACTAAATATTAATTAACTACATGTACTTACTATATGGTTAGGGTTCGGTTTAGGGTTACTTGCATGTAATTATGCATAATTTCATTTTGTTGATATTGTGAGTGCACACAAATAAAAGTAGACGCTTTACAGTTCCGAGTGATGTATTACTCTTACCTTTTATGAGCAATAATTACGGCATATTTTAAGTATTATATTATTATTATTATTATAAGTATTATTATATTTTTAATATTTAAATGTATATTTTAAGTTGTTTCCTTTATTTTAAGGTGTCCTTGTTAGTGTAATTATACATTTAAGTACTAAATATTAATTAACTACATGTACTTACTATATGGTTAGGGTTCGGTTTAGGGTTACTTGCATGTAATTATGCATAATTTATTGTTATTACAAGTACATGTAAGGTGTAACAAGGACACCTTAAAGTGTTACCCAATATTGCAATGCAAACTGCTCTGATAAATTCCAGTCATTTCAATAGAAATATCAAATAGCAGTTAACACACATGCTTCTGGTTCATTGAGATGTGGCGCTCAGTTGGGTGATGCAGGTTTGAGTCTGGCCTGTAGCACATTCCAATTAGAGGTCTGCAAGCCCGTCATTTTTTTTTTGTAACAGATCGGGCTCGGGTCGGACTCAGGCTCATTTAGCTTCTCTCCTTTTATTGTGCCATATACGCGCAGAGCACACATGGGCTACTGTATGAAATATTGCTATATTGATTATATTATAAATATTATACATCGCCTACGCAACGCATATACGCATGCATTAACATACAGGTGACAGTTGACCATGCACGGCATCAGGGAGAAGTTGGAGCGTGGGGAGTTACTAAAAGTTTCCAATGCTTCGGGAAAAGCTGCATTTTGGAAGAATCTTGATTTGATATACCACGACAAACAGTGAGTCAATTGGTCATGTGCAGTACAGAATCTGCAAAACATATCCTTGCACATGACAGCAAAAAACGCACGCAATAGGCTAAAGCGTGCCGCAAAGCCCCAGCAAAA